CACCTGAGTAGCCTGGTGGTGAGCGGGGCCAAAATGGGCCCAAGAAACCGCAGCGAGTTGATGCAGAGCTTTTGGTTGAACCTGAACAAATAAATCAGTCTCGTGCTCAGCAGAATAACCCATAGGGAGATAAAGGAAGAACCCTGGACAGAGAGGACTCCTGGGTTCAGTTCTCAGCTGTTTTCGATTCTCTGTGCCAACTTAAGCACCATCAACCGACTTCTCTCAGCCTCAGTCTTCTCATCTGAGCAAAGGGATGAATAATGCCTGTTGGAGGGGAGGGGAGACTGAGACAGCGATGGAGAATGACTATGGTCACCAACGCCAAGAACAGCCAGTGGGTGAAGGACCTCAAGTGCTTCTGAGCTACAGGGGAGAAAAAAACAAAAAAGCAGCCCTACTTTCCCAGAAAGAAAGGCCACCAGGGCCTCTAGTTGGGGACAGGAGGGGAAGTGGTGAGCTCTTGTTTTCTCAGGTGGGTTTAGGGGAGTAAGAGTCAAGACTTTTTCAAGTATACGTGACAGAAACACATCTTAAAAGCCTCAAGCTAAAAAAAAAAAAAAAAGGAGAGGGTGTTTTTTTGGTCCATGTGACAAAAAGTGCATGGGTGTCTGCATAATAGGATGGTTAGACTCATACTCTCTGTTTCTGGCCTCTGCTTTCCCCTATGTTGCTTTTGTTTCCAGGCTGCCTTTGGTGGCAAACACGAAGTTTACATCTTATCACTTCACAAACCCAACACATACAGAGCTTTTCTTTCCAGACGGTTCCAAGAAAAGTTCCAGAGCTGACTCTCGTTGGCTCAGAATGGGTGATGAGCCCATCCCTAGCACAGTGACTGTTATTGGCCAGAGCGGGATCATGTCCTCACCTCTAGAGTCAGGGTGGGTCAACCTCATTGGACGAGTTGACTCAGGGAGGCGGGAGGGTGATTCTCTAAACTACAATTTGGGCTCCTCCCAGGAGTTGCTGAAGACCCCTGGAGGGGTGATAACAGCAGACTTCCACCTCTGGGAGGAAGCTGTCACAACCCCCAGGCTTGCCTCATTGTTGTTCGGTGTCAAGAGGAGACTCAGGAGCACCTGGCGGAGAAGGAAAGGGCCTCCCCACCTGGCAGATAGTTCCCCTCGATTGATCTTGTAATTAAGGCAATTGTAAACAGAGGCCCCAGGAAGTAGGCATGGGCGGAGACTCACCACCCACAGCTCAGGCATGTGCAAGACTTGCCCCCCAACCTCGGGGGCCAGGTGGGGCCTCACTTGTTCATTTCCCTGTTAGGCAGCAAGGAGGTGGGGGATGTGGGCCTGCCCCTGGGCAGCTGCAGGCTCAGACATAATGGATGGGTGAGTGCCTGGCCCTGTGCCCAGCCTCAGCTGCTACGCACTAGATGCTGTTTCTTTCTCCTTTTGTGGAGACAAAAGGCTGTGGGGATCAGCTGTGATCATCATTGCTTTGGTCCTTGTCAGTAATAATAGGTGTTCCACGCAGCGACTTCTCACCTCCTTTCCTTCTAGTGGGTTCTTTCCTTTTTCTTTGACTGTGTCCACCAACATCATTGTCACAGCTTCTTTGCTCCCAAGGGAGTGACTCAGTGAGAGGAGCATGTGGGAAAGAGAAAGGACTGAACAGACCAGTTGGAGGGAAACAGAGAGGGAGCAACTGAAAAAGAGAAGCCTCCCATGACGTCGCCATCTTATTTTTTCACAGCACCTTTTCCAGGTACCCATTTCCTTGACCCTTGCAGTGGCCCTCCCCTTTAAGAGGCAGGGAAACTGAGGCTCAGGGTGGTAAAGTGGCCCCCCAGAGGTCACCCTGTCTGTAAAACTCAGGATCGAGGATTCAGAGCCCAGTGTGTGCAACTCCAAATGTGTTGCCATGCTGCCCACTCGGGGTGTGAGTAACTGGGTGATGCGGCTGGAAGGAGTAGCACCATGGGTCGTGTTTGCTGTGTGGTCTGAGACAAGTCCCTTCCCCTCTCTGGGCCAAGAACACACTGGTTTGGGATCAAGAACACCGTGGTCAGTCCTGTTGGCTGAGTGCCGTGTTGTGGATGATGGGTGTTCCGTGCCTGCCATTTACTTCTGAACAAGTACCATCAATAATTCAAGTTCCCTTTCCTTTGTAAAGTAGGAAAATTGGTCTCCTGGCAAGATATGAAAAATAATTTCACGCTGTCTTTCCTCCCCTCCCAAGATCGCCCCTGAGAAATTGTCTCTTTATTGCCTATCACTCCAGCCATCATCTCACATCTGGGGTCCCATTTTTTATAGTTGCCAGCTTCACTCTTGGCTCCAACTTGGGCTGGCTCTTACTAGGGTTGCCATCAAATTCCAGTGAGGCTCCCTCGTTCATGCATTCATTCATTCATTCATTCATTCATTCATTCAGCAAACAGTGCCTGCTTTGTCCCCAGGGATCCAAGGCTTTCCTATAATAGATGAGAGGCTCCCTAGTTCTTCATACTAAAGTGTGAGGGGCTACTTTCTGAACTCTTTTAAAGGAGGACATGAACCTAGCACCTTACCGTTTATAAATACCATTTTTTCCCAGTATCTCTTTAATGCTCCCCTAAAACCTTATACAACTCGTAATGAGTTTGATGCTCTTACAGGCTTAGAGGCCTCGGACAAATTGCTTGACCTCTCTGAACCTCTGAGCCTCAAGTTCCTGATAGGTTTTAAAAGGATAATAATAATGCCTAGGAGTTACTGTAAGGTTTAAATTATTAATATACCCCATGTGAAAGGAGCCAACACAATGTGTATCATCAATATCATCATCATCATCATTATAAGGAAGGCATGCCCCGGTAAGGAGACTGGGGTGGAGATGGGGAGGGGCTATCAAAATATCCAGTGTGGTTTTTTGTGGTAGCAAATGTAGCAAAACACCTGGCATGTTTAAGGAAGCGTCACTCCAGGGACATGAGGTCAAGAGGGGCCATGGGGGAGGCAGCCTCATAGGAAAAATATTGTTTTGTTTTGTTTCTTGGAGAGGGATGGGAAGTGTGGAAGGACTTTGAGAAGGAGTACAAGATCTACCTTCCGTTTTTAACAGGACCACTGCAGAGCAGACTGTTCATGGGCAAAGATGGAAGCAGAGGGGATGGCTTGGACCAGCGTGGTAACAATGCGGATGGTGATAGCGATGGGATTCTGGTACGCTTTGAAGGCATGGCTGAAAAGCTGGAAAGCGTACTTTCGGTCTGGGGTGTCTTCTGTTTGAGACGTGCATCTGTCGATTAGACAGTTGGATGTTCAGGAATGGAGTTCAGAGGAGAGGACTGAGTGGAGCTAAGCACCAAGGAGCTTGGCCTCCCCACTGCTCCCCTCATCTGTCCCAGTCCCATTCTTATGTCTCCCAACCCAACAGCCCCACACTTACCCCACCAGGGCTCCTGTCACAGGATATTGCAATTCCACTGTTGACTTGTCTGTCTTACCCATCCATGCAACTGGGTGAGAGAAAGGATTTGACTGGTTTGCATCTTGCTTACCATTTCCCAGGCCCTGACAGACAGTAGGTCCCAGGCAGATGATCATTCGAATGAATGGGATGATACAATGAGGGGTTAAAAATTACTGAAGAGCACATGTTCGTAAACATGTCCCTCCCTTTTCTACACCAGATAATGTTATCTTTTCCAGCAGGCTGTTCAAAACCCCACCCGTTCCTGTCTCTATGAGACTTATCTATGGCAGAGGAAGGTATTCACCCAGGAACAAGAGTCAGGCAGCTAATGGTTGTTAAGAATCAGGCAGCTATGGTTGTTAAGACACTTATATAATAAAGGATGAGAGGGGGAGAGGAGGGGGAGGGGAAAGGGGAGGGGGATATCTTGCCACTCAGGTTGCAAATGAAATGGAAATTTATTTCTTTGTTTTAAAACTTTCTTTGGAGTGTAGAGGATGTTAAATGAGAGACTCCTGTGTAGTGTGCGTGAGAGAGAATTAGGGAGAGAGAAAAGGAATCGAAGTTTTGCTAGGGGAGAGAATTGGCTCTCTCCATGCATGGCTAAAAAAAAGCTAGGAACAATTTATCAGAAAGACAGCAATCATAAATATATGTGCATTGAATAACAGAGCATCAGATTCTTGAAGAAAAAAATCAGGAAGCAAAAATGGACAAAACTAAAGGGAGAAATAGATAAATCCAAATCATGGCAGGAAATATTAACAGCCCTTTCTCAGTAATTGATTTTTAAAAATCAGGAAGGATATAGAAATATCTAACCAATACTATCAACTAATTTGAGCTAACCAACATTTACAGAACACCATACCCAACAAGTGCTGAATTGAAATAACATTTAAATCTATCCAACAACAAGAATATATGCTGGGCCATAAAATAAGTCTCAATTCATTCCAGAATACTGAAATCTTGAGTCTGTTCTCTGACCACAATGGACTAAAATAACAAATCAATAACAATAAAATATCTAGAAAAATCGCAAGTAGTCAGATAACATAATCCATGAGTCAAAGAAAAAAAAATCACAAGGGGAACTAGAAAATACCAAACTGACTGATAATGAAAACACATCAAATTATAATTTGCAGGAAGCAGCAAATGCAGTCCTGGTAGGGAAAGTCATAGCTCTAAATGACTATAGGGGGGGGGGGGGAGGGGAAGAGGGGCCTGAAATAATGACTCAAGAGTTTACCTTTAAAAGCTAGAAAAACAAAGAATAAAGTAAATAGAAGGAAAAAATACTAAAGATAAAAGCAAAACTCAGTGAAATAAAACAAAGACAAATGATAAAGGAAACTAATAAAGCTATTATAAATATTGGTTCTTTGAAAAGATTAATAAAATTGAAGAGCACGAGCTAACTAACACTAAACTGTTTTTATTACTTTTAGTTTTTCCTGCTGAATGTGAATGCATGGACTGGCTCACATGGGTGTTGGGTTTACTTGGGGTTACAGGGGGAGGCGGAGGAGAGCACGTAACAGCTCCCACAGCTCCTCTGTTCCAGAGGAGCTCACATTCACAGCTCACTGCTGGATCCTGCGGACACTCTGCACCTGGACGGTCTGGGCATGAGAGCCCCACTCCCGGAAATGCTTGTAGTCGCCCGAGTGGTGATCACTCTCCAGCATGTACTGAAAACCTCGGTAGCCAGGAAACTGGGAGCAAACCCAACTGGGGAAGGAAAGAGGCAGCCTGTTACCCTAGAAAGGCACGAGCATGGTGATTGAGACAGAGCAAAGGACCCCACCACACTGGAAACATATTCCAGCCATCATGGCCTTCCTTCAGTGCCTGGAATGCGCTCTGCTCTTTCTACCACCATGCCTTTCATCATGCTGTTCCCTCTTCCAGGAACACCGTTCCAGCCATTCTTTTGCCCGACCCAGTTGTATTTATCCTTTAGGTCTCGGCTCAGTCATCATTTCATCAGGGTGATCTGAGCTGTTCCCCAAATTAGGCCAAAGTCCCTTACTGTACCTTTGGAACACTCCTGTAATGAGGAAATTAAGAGATTATTTGTAAAATGTCCCCGTCCTCAACCAAAAGTAAGCTTCTGGGTGTAGGAGTGTGTGTATCTGTTTCATTGTTATCTCCAGTGCCTAACACAGTGCCTGGCACAGAGGAAGTACTTGGTAAATGTTTGATGAATGAATGAATGAATGAATGAACGAACGAACGAACGAACAAAAGGATGGGGAGTCTTGTTCTTTCCCCTTCCTTCCTTACCCAGAGGCACTTCCAAGAAAAGGGCTATTGGGGCCGGCCAAGTGGCACGTTCGTTAAGAGCTGGCTTGGGGGGGCCGGCCGAGTGGCGCGATGGTTAAGAACTGGCTTGGGATGCCAGAGGGCCCTGGTTTGGATCCCACATGAGGGCCAGTGACACTGCCCTCCACAGCTAGACTGAAGAACAAAATGACAGCAACTTGTCTGTTCCCCTCCCCCCAGTTCCCCAGGACTGTTCCCATCCCCCCAATTCCCCAATAAAAATCTTTAAAAAAAAGAAAAAGACTATTGTTCTTTTAGTTCATTGACCCCCTATGCTGCCCAGAGCTGGACAAGAATTGGTATCTTGTTTTCTGAGCTTCCATTTCCCTTTCTGTAAGAGGAAAGTAGACTCAAAAACCATAAGAGGTGCATCCTGTTCTAAACCAACATAATTCCCTGGTGGTGTCTGAAAAAGTTAAAAACCAAAACAACCTACCTCACCTACTTCCTACCCTCACCCCAGCCTATTGGGAGCCAAAGGGCACTGCAAACGGTGGTTCCAATGTCTTCCCTACCTGAGGACCGCATGCCTTAGCCTTCACCTGCCACCTCCCGAGTGAAAAGGGTATGAAGGGTCGGTCAGTCAGTCCTGAACTTGAGGCTGGATGCAGTCACCTACCTGCTGTTGAGATTGGAGAAAGTTGCGTAACCCACATCTGGGTTACGGCTGGCCATCCGTTCTCTGCTCTTCTAGTGATAGAGCCTATCACTCCCCCCTGTCTCCATCGATGTGGGAACATGTTTGCTCTAGCAATGAGCATGTGACCAGGCTAGCCAATCAGACCACCCTATTCTTGTGAGCACGGTGATTGGTTTAAATTTGAACACATGACCTAAGTGGACCAATGAGGGCCTTTTCTGCAATCTTTGTTGGAATCATTGTAAAAAGAGACACTCTTTCCCTGGAGCTGGCTGAAGCATAAGGGTGAAGCTGCCATCTTGCCGTCACATGGGAAGAGCTTGACTAAGAATATGGTCACACTGAGGCAGGTGGAGCAAGAGAGGGAGAAAGGCGGATCCGTGCTGAAGCACCTGGACCCAGCTGTGCCTGAAACTAATTACAGGGGCCAGTAAATATCCTTTGGCTTTAATATCAGCTTGATCTGAGTGTCCATTGCTTGCCATCTCAGAAATTCTGCCCGATACCTCCCTGTGCCTCAGTGTCCTCCTCTGGAATATGGGCATCAGAGCTCAAACATCCCCAGCACATCGCTGTCACAGGTGGTATCCCCCCCTCCCAATATCCTTTCTTCCCCTGCCAGGCAGAGCCTTGGGTCCACTTACGCCCCAGATTGGACACGGAAGGAGCCCACTTCATTGCTGTCCCAGCCCATGGCCTGGAGAGAGGGGTAGTCATCACTCAGCTCTCCTTTCGTGCCCAGAAAGTTCTCTTGCTCGAAGATGGTCAGCCTAGAATCACGGTGGTTCTGCAGGCAAAGGAAACAGGGTCAGACCATCAAGTGCCCAGTTGGAAACCCAGGAGCCTCTGCTGGCCCCCACACCCTTGCCCTTGTCTCCCAAATCTGCCCTACCTGCACACCTTTTGAAAAGTCAATAAGGCAACAGGCACTAGAAACCTTAGAAGATGGGTACTGTTTGCGATTCCAGACATTTATAAATAAGTCTTGGTGATAACAGTAAAAAAGAAGAAGGAAGAGGGACAGGGGCAGTTAGAGAGACAGAGAGAGAGAGGAGGGGAAGGAGAGGGAAAGGTAGGGGAGGGGAAGGAAGGAGAGACAACTTGAATGTGGGGACAAGACGGGTCAGGTGGTAAACTTGGGTACTGCGCTATGGTCAACAGAAGGGTGCAGAGATCTGGATTCAAACCCTGCTCTCCGCTTACCAGCTGACTGAGCTTGAACATACCACATAGCATTTCGGAGCCTGTTTTGTATACATGAAATGAAACTAGCCACATCTGCTTTTCAGAATTGTTTAGGGGATTCAATGAAACTGGAAGTTGTAAACTGCTTGTGAAAGCAAGGTTTGCATCTGTCAGAGGCTACCATGTGTCCTCCTATTGGAACAAGGGTTGGGCCGTTTTTAGAACAAATGAAGCTATTCACACAATGAAATTCTAGGGAGCTATGGAAAGGATGTTGAAAATGAGATTTAATCTCCTGGGCGACTGACTGGGATATATTTGCCCAGTGAGAAAGGCTGGTTTCCAAGCCTTTAATTTGTTACGATTTAATTTTTATAACAAAATGATATGTGTACATAGATATCAATATCAATCAGTACAGGTATAATCTGTGGAGAGCAAACAAAATGAGAGGAAACCTCTAGGACTGTGAACGTTGGGCTTCCGTCTGAAAGGTATGGATAGGAACGACTTTTATTGTTTTATTTTGCTGTATCAGTTTTTTTCCTGAATGTTAAATGATAAACATGTGTGCCTTATATGATTTTATATCAATAAAAGTTGTTTTTGAGGAAAAAGATACACCTTTCTAAGCCTCAATGTTTTCACCTGTAAGATGGGGATACTAACAGTCACCTCCCCGCCATACTCCGTAAACAGTAGCTAAAATATAAAATCAGGAACACTGATAATAAATCAGGAATAAGAAATAGGACCCTTTCTCCCTACCTTGCCTTGCCATCTCTGGCACCCAGTTTCTCCGAGTATCTCTGAGTCATAAAAAGGCAACACAAAGAACATGGCGGGCGGGGTGGTTAGCTCAGGTGGTTAGAGTGCAGGCTCATAACACCAAGGTTGCTGGTTCGATCCCCACATGGGCCACTGAGATGCGCCCTCCACAACTAGATGGAAACAACTACTTGACTTGGAGCTGATGGGTCCTGGAAAAACAGTGTTCCCCAATTAAAAAAAAAAACCACAGGGGTTCTCCTAATATCATAACCAAAGTTACAATGGGCAGAATTTTTGTGGCGGGTTCTGTCCAGACACTTAAACTTTCCTTTTCTCCATAACATAGGTACTATGGCCCCATTTCAAGATGAAGAAACTGAGTCTCAGAGAGGTGAGGAATTGTCGTGTTCCACAGCTTGAAGAAGTGACTGAGAATTTGAACTCTGGGATATCCCAAACCTCCACGGGAGGGGCTCAGGCCTCCCTGAGCGGAGGCGATGGCAGGACTTACAGCACAGGCCATAGGCCGGAAGGAGGTGAGCCTGACAGCAGGGCAGGCCATGTTGCCGCTCCAGGCATCCCAGCGTGGGTACTCGCCTTGCTCCAGCACGTATTGCTGCCCTTGGAAGCCAGCGTGCTCAAAGCCCACCCACCTGTGGACAGAAGGGAGAGAGTAAAAGGGGTAACAGACCACTCAGTTCTAGACCAACAGTTATCATGCAGGGGTGACTTTGCCCCCCCAGGGAGGCTTTTGACAAGTCTAGAGGCATTTTTAGTTGTCCTACTGGGAGGAGGGAGGAGGAGGTGTTTGCAAATGGCATTTAGGGGAGAGAGGCCAGAGACAGTGCTAAATATCCTCTAAGACACAGGATAGTCCCCATCAAAACAAAGAAGTATCCACATGTCAATCGTGCCGAGATAGAGAAACCCAGTTTAGACTCAGTAACCCGCTGATTTGCTGTGTGTTCCATAGGTAGGCGAGCTGCTCTGTGCTGCTGCGTGACAAGCTTACGTGTGTCTCTCTAGGTCACACAGGCAAGCTTGACCCGAGGCTGACCTAAGCCTTGGTGGGATCCCTCGTAATTCTCCTGGGAAGTGAGAAGACAGGCAGCCTTGTGCGGAGCTGCCCCAAGGCCATGTCTCACCCACCTCTCTGGTCCCCACAAGCTGCGGGACTTCCGACCCCGCCACCCTGGAGGGTATAGCGCAGGCTATAGCTGAAGCATGGAGCGGATCCCCAACAGCAGGGCACCGCCACTCCTGTTGTCCTCTGGCCACTGTTATTTTGGTGTCATCCTATGGGATAAGGGATGCAGGAGGCTGACACCATGCTGACCTTGCACTTGCTGTCTATACTCGGATAAGTACAAGTTCTCACCTAACGTTGTTGATAGAATCTTGGAACTGTGGTGAAATGACATATAATGAAACCAATTTTAACCACAGGTTAATTAATATAAAAAGAGTGAAGTTCCTACGGCATTCATCAACATTATAATGAAATGACAATGAACAAAATGTTATTCGAGGACCTACTGGCATGCACTGTCTGAATCTACCTGAGCTTGTTGACCCTTTTCTGGCCTGATCTGTTGACCCGTGGGACATACCCCTGGTCAGGTCACTCTTCCCATCTGGGTCCCGGTTCCCCACCTATAGGAAGCGGAGGCTAAAAGTGTGTTTACCCTGGTGTGATATGCATAAATACCACCCAAGGTGACCTTCATTGGCACTCAGGGGCATCGCATGATGTGACTCCAAATCACATAGAGAGAACATTGTTCTCCTTTCAGTCTACTTTCCAACCTTCTAGAAACTTTTGTCCAATATGGTAGCCACTGGCCACATGTTGCTAACTAAATTTAAGCTTAAATAAATTTAAATGAAATAAATAAAAAATTCAGTTGTTTAGTCACACCAGCTACATTTCCAGCCCTCGATGGCCATATGTGGTCAGGTTCCAAATCCGACAGTGTAGATACAGGATATTTCCATCATTGCAGAAAGTTCTACTGAACGGTGCTAATCACGAAAGTCTCAGTATGGTATTGGTGTGTCCTTAACACCTCTCTACATCTCATTAATCTCTCTTTAAAAACAAAACAAAACAAGAAAACCTCCTGTTCAGAGCCTCAGTCAAGCAATAATGTTCAACTAAAGATTAATAGCATTGTTTTTTACTATATTTTTGTAGTTTTCATCTACTTTTGGCAAGTGATGTTGGCTTTCAATTTATGCCGAAAAAGGCCATTTCAGACGCAGCACTCCATAAAGGTCTGTCCCTGCAGGCGGCCTCATCCAGTGGGCGGAATCTGTGTGAATGGCGCCCCCTACATTTGGGCAGTGCACAACCTGCATAACTTTATAGGGCCGTCCTGCACACTCCCCAGCACTTCAGACCCATGGAAGACACATCAGGAAGTGAAAGCCTAGGAAGATAGGACCTAAGACATCTCAAAGTCCCAGCACCCCTCTCTAGATCTCCTCGTGTTTCCCCCCAGCCCGATTCAGATATGCCCTTGGACTCACGCGCCACTCAGCACTTTCAAAGACCGCACAGTCTCAAAGCCAAATTCCAGCATGCTGGGGCACTCAGTGGAGAACTCATGCCACTGGCCCTGGAAGCCCTCCTCATCCCACACCACAATCTAAGATGGAGAGAAAAGGTGGGACCTGTATTAGAGTCCTGTGGGAGGTGAGGTAAGGTTAGGGTTCACCCCAAAACTCAGGATGGGGTGGGGCAGGGAAAGCAGGGATTGCAAACTCAGATGCCTCCAGGGTCCGGGCAAGTAAGGTGGGTGAGGGCTGGGGGTAAGGAGAGCACAGGCCCAGCGGAAATGGGTGCCTCTGCTCAGCGCCATCTATTGTTGACAGGTGGGAATGCTGGCTGACCATTAGGATTTTTCAAGACAGTCACTAAATCCGGGCTTTTCTGTTGATCCTCCAGGTTTTTAAAAGCTGATGACAAATTTAAGGGTTTAAGAAAAAGCACGGAGAGGCGGCCGGATGGCTCAGTTGGTTACAGTGCGTGCTCCTAACACCAGGGTTGTCAGTTTGACTCCTGCATGGGATGGTGGGCTACACCCTCCTGGAACTAGATTGAAAACAGCTACTGGACTTGGAGCTGAGCTGCTGCTTCTCCAAAACTAAGATTGAAGGACAACAACTTGACTTGGAGCTGATGGGTCCTGGGAAAAACACATTGTTCCCCACCCAATAAAGCTAAAAACAGAAAACAAAAAACAAACAAAACAAACAAACAAAAATGCAGAGGAGGTCAAAGAAACCATGCCCCAAAGACTGTGCAATCACCCGTTTTCCATCTCCACCAGAGAGTGTAACAGTTAAATTTGGGGACCAGAAGACCCAAGTTCAAATCCAGATCCCTGTGTGTGAACTTGGGCAAGTCCCCTCCCCTGTATGAGCCTCGATTGCATCCTCTATAAAATGGGCCCTCATAAGTCCCCAGGGGTGAGGTGGGGATTCATTGGAGGTGGGATGGGGATCCCCTGGAGCTGGGTTTGACCTATACCCCCCACTTCCCAAACACGCCCATGCCTCCTCCTACCTTCCAGTGTCCCGCTGACGTGGTGCATTGCAGGGTCATGTTGCCCCTTCCTACACAAGAGAAGAACATAATAACCTTAGCCCTGATCTCTGCATTCCTCCTTGACACTGACATCTAGTTTAGGTGGGGTCAGGATCCAGGTGGGGTCCAGATGTGCCCGGGCTAGGGGCAACATGCAGCTTTGGCCTGTCCATTCCCTTCCCTTTCCATCTGTGACCAATGCCATCTCCTTGGATTCCTTCTGTCACCATCTCAAAATTCACCCATTCTGAGTCCCCTTGCCTCTGAGCCCTGCTCTGTGCTGGTTTATCTGCTCACTGTGGAAATTCTCTGTGGCTGCCAGTGGGTGGATGCATCACTCTGGCAAGTGCCAAAGATCCCAGCTTAAGAGAGCATCCCAAAGACAGCACAGGATCCAAAGAGGTGACTCCAACAGTGGAAACTGAGGCAGCAGGGCTCTGGGAAGAATGTTGGTTTTAAATGAGAGTAGCAGGCTCTGGTCTTGATGTCGGGGGCCTTGCCTAGGTGACGATGAGGACGACGCTCAGGATGACACCGTGCTAATCCAAGGATTGGGAACCGGGCTCCCCTGCCTCCCAGGATGCTCTCTCAGCTCGTTTTCCACCCTTCTCCAAGCCTGGGACTTACCGAGATGGACCCAGAGAAAATGGCAGCCCTGGGACCAGCCGAGGTGGGGTTCCTATAGGCAGGGAGGGGAGAGGGCCTCTGGGAGATAAAGCTCCGACTCAGCAAGTGAGCAGTAGGAACAAAAGGCAGCCCCAGCTGAAGCCCCAGTGAAGTGTCAGCTCCATTGGCTGGGAGGGAAAGGGGCAGGTGGCCTCCCTCAGGGATAAGCCACAGAAAAAGTAAGAGAGGCGAGGTCTGCCTCAGTCAGCTCCATGTGACCCTGACTAGTGCAGGAGAATGAGCCCTGGACAAGGAGTCCGAAAACCTGGTCCTTCCTAGCAGTGTGACCTGCCACAGTTCATTTCTCCTCAGTTTCTGCCTATAAAATGGGACAAGAATAACCTACATCACTGAGTTGTTGTGATTTTACATCACATGCCTGGCACAGAATAAACACTCAACAAACGCCTATGTCTTTCCTTCTTCCTACATCCCTTCCTCTTCCAGCAGGGGTAATCAGGGTAGGCTTCCTGTTGGAGGTGACATTTAAACTAGATTCTGAAGGATGAGGAGGATACGTACAAAGAGAGATGGAAGCAAACGCTTTTTCTAAGCAAAAGTGCAGAGGTGGGAACTTGGAATATGTGCATGAGAAAGAGCTGGTAACCCAATGGGGCTGGAGGTCACGGACCCTGAAGGAGACCAGAGGGAACCAAGCAGGAAAGGTGGGCTGGGCCAGGGCCTCCAGGGCCCACAAATCCCAAAGAAGACTCCAGATGGCTCTGTGGGCAGAATAAAGGAGCTGGTGGGTGCGCATATGCTTTGCAAACTGTAGCCAGGATTTGTAGAATTGGCTGTGTGCACCCTTTTCCCACACTCCCACCCTCTGATTTGACCTGAAGCGTGTCTCACAGCATAGGAAAGAGCATGGCCAGAGACCAGATCCCTCTGGGTGAAATCCAGCCTTGCTTCTGAACAGCTGAGTGACCCAGGGGATGTCTGATCTCAGCTCATGGCTAGTAAAGCGGCAACATTCATCCCTCTGGGAGGGTTAAAAGCAGCCCCATCAAATGCATGACTTTGATGAAGGGTTGCCTTGAAGATGAAAAGCAAAGAATGTAGCTCTACCGCCAGACTGTCTGGGTTTACATCCCACTCTTGCTGGCTGGGTAACCTTGAGCGTGTTACTTCACCTCTCTGAGCCTCAGTTTCCTCGTGTGTAAAATGAGTATAACAAAATGTAAATTGGGTTCAGCCTAACAGATAGGGGTATAGTGAGGGGAAACGTGAATTACTTGTGAACAGTACTTAGAACTGCTTCTAGAACATAAAAAACATTATGCGCCTCCATCATCATTGTCAGCATCATTGCAAATAATAAAAAGGATTGGTATTCATATAAAAGCCGGAGTGCATGGTTTTAAGAGCTCGGGTTCAGGAGTTTAAAGGATGTGACTTCCTAATTCCGTTTTACAGAAGAGAAAACAGGCTGAGCGAGGGGAAAGAAAGCTGCCTCAATTTCCTCACCTGCAAATAGGATTAATCCCAAAGACCCCACTGTCACACTGAGGATTATGGGAGCCAAGTCGATAAAGGGTTCAGAGTGGAACCACCCAGCATAGGGGACCATCTCCCACCTCTGCCCTCATCCTTAACAGGTGGCCCATTGCCACGGAGGACACGGAACTGCTCCAGACAGCCTGGCCTTGAAGCCAGACCTGTGGGTGGCCCCCTACCACCCATCAAACACCACCCACTGTATCTTGGCCCTAGTTCCAATGGCTGCCCCATCCTTTGATTCCTGCCCTGCTCCCAGACCTTGGCCCAGGATGAAAGCTGAGGAGGAGACTGGGAAATGAGGGGGTGCTGGGTGGGGCTGGAGGGGTAGAAGGCAGAGCTGGCCCCAGGCCATGGTGATCTCAAGGCAGAGCCGTGTTCTATGGTGCACCTGGGTCCGCGGACCCCTGCAGAAGAGGCAGGAACCTGTACAAAACCCCCTCCCCCACGAGCCCGCCCGGGGCAGGGGAGTCAGGCTGCAGGCTGACCTGGCTCCGCCATTCCCCTGGTCCCTCAGCCCTGGCTCTACCGGGAGTTCACACCATGCGACCTTGTTGTTGTCACAACACACAACAACTGTGTGTTGTTGTCACACAGTTGAAACTGGGCCTCAGTTTCTCCATTTGTGAAATGAGAGAATTGGACGATATGATTTCTGGCATCTGTTCCATTGTTCTGAGTCTTTATTGCTCTGTTGTCTCTCTCTCTCTCCCTCTCTCTCCCATTCTCTGTCTCCTTCACCATCCCGTTCCCTCCCTGAGCCCTCTATATTTCTGTCTCCATCCTGTCTTTCTCTGTCAACTCTCTACTTCTTCCAATCAGGGTCCCCTTTTCTCTCTCCCCATCTCGGTTTCTCTATCTCCCCCTGTACCCCACCTTCCATTACTATCCACTGGTATGACCATTTAATCCCCCCAAATTGATTAAGGGTCCCCTCTGTGCCAGGCCCTGTGCTAGGTGCTGGGGCCCAGGGGTGAACAAGATGTGGTGAAGTTTGGGGCCTCCCAGAAGAAGCACTGACACAGGCAGACATATTCCCGGCCACCAGCTCTGTCCCTGGGGTCAGATACAGGCAGGTCAGGAAAGAGTGGAGGAGGAATCTGGGCCCGACCTGGGCAGAGAAACAGAACCGAGGCCTTAAATATTCAACTCACTGAGCCCAGGGACATCCTCACATCCCTGTCCCTATATCTAGAAGCATGAAGTCAAGCCAGGGCCAAGGTCAGACCGTGATAGAGTGAAGCATACCGGCCGCCATGCCTGGGCTGGTTCCTGGCTTTGCTCATTTGTGAAATGGGCATAATGAAAGTACCCCAAAAGTTGGGTTGTCCGGGGGATGGACTGAGACAGCATGGGTAACACGGTGCTGTGCTTAGTACCTAGTAAGCACTCAGTGAGCGGGGCTGTGGATATTGTATCCACATCTGCCTTTACAGAGCGTTTTCTCATCTCCTATGCTCATCGTCACCTTCTTTTCTGCGTAGCATCCAACGGGGACACTTGTGCCTGCTTGTAACTGCAGTTGCAGAGGTCCTGAAGAGCACAAAGTGACTACACTCTCCACACTCTCCTTGTCCCTGCCCCAGAATCGGCAAGCAGCAGGGACCCCATGGTCTCTCGTAGGCTGGGGTTTTAGAGAGAGGTATCAGGGTCGGAAGCAGGTGAAGTGTCTGCTGATCAGGGTTTCTGCCTGTGTGTGCTGGGTTCACAGTGGAAAGTGCTGCTCTCTGCAGTAACCCAGGCGAGGTTGGGGCCTCAGGCCCCCAACTCCAAGCCCAGGGCCTGCTGAGCCAGCTCCCTCTTTGTGCCACAGACCATAGGGCCTGCTGCCTGCCAGACTATAAAATGGGGGATCGGCCCCTAGTCACCCACAGTACTCACCCGCCCACCTGCCTGTCCCCCAGCAGGAAGTAGCCAGTCCCAGGTAAGAGGGAACCCACCATGCTGCTGAGAGCTGAAAGCGGGTGAGAAAGAGGAGAAGGGAGTCAGAGAAAGGGGGAGGCCGAGAGAGCAGTTACAGCAAAGAATCAGAGACAGGTAATTAAAGGTGGGGGTGCGAAGGGGGGGGAAGAGAAGAGAGAGCACAAAAGCCAGTAATAAAGAACAGAGAGAAGGGACAGGCAGAGCTACAAAAAGAGCAAGATGCTGGAGGCAGGAGAGAGAGAAGGGGAGAGGGGGAGAGAGAGAGAGAGAGAGGGGGAGAGAGAGAGAGAGAGAGAGAGAGAGAGAGAGAGAACTCTAACATCTCTAGAAAGGAATGAGACCCAACTACCAGCCAGGAGAACGTTGATTCACAGGATGATAGGAGGGTAAGCAAGAGCCTGGAAGCCACAGATGTGGCCCAGATGTCTGGCCTGCCCACAGTGGGCAGTGCACCCCAGAGTAACAACAGCCTTTCTCAGGGAAGGCAGAGGCCGGTGGGGATCTGCCATCCACTGGACCACAGGATCTCAATCTGTGTTGTCAGAGGGTCCTCCAACCCTTGGAAATTGTCTCTAAAATTAAAGGGGGCATTTTTTTTTCCTGGGGACAAGGACAAGGCGTTCGCCCAACACTCAAGGGTGTTCATGACCCCAAAGCAACAAGGAACCACTGACACTGACCAGAACCCTCTCCACCCAACGCCTACACAGCCACAGTCCTCATTTTAGAACCCCCGACATGCACTTAAGACGTCCTCTAGGGTCCTCCTTTGGGCCCCAGTCCTAGGCTTGAATCTGCACCCGGACACTCATTCCCAGAGAATGCCCGAGGCAGTAGTTGGACTGGGAAATGAGACGGGAACTTGCATTCATTCCTTCATTCTCTGAACAGATGTTAGATGCGAAGCCTGTATGGGCCAGGGGCTAAGCCAAGTGCTGGGGATGGAAGGGTTAATAAATCAGAATAAGTAAACCACAGAGCATTTCGTAACCCAGTTGCTAGGTCCATCTGCTTGAGCTGAAATTGGAATCCTGCTATTTAGTGGCTGTGTGGGCTTGGGCAGGTCGCCTACCTCTCTGGGCCTCAGATAGCTCAGAGGGGATAAGACAGCACCTACTACTGCATGCCGTTAGGGTGAGGAACAGATGAGTTCATTAACGCATGGAACAGAGCCTGGCATAGCTACCGTTCTCCCCAATGTGACTTCTTGTTACTAAGCTGGTCAGGCAAATTGTTGTGCAAAAAAAGGAAGGAAAAAAAAGGTGTGATAAGTGGTATGGAAAACTACAGGGTGCAAAGGCAGACTCGGGCAGGGGAGTAGCGGGTAGAAGGAAGGCATGGTTGGTGAAGGGCTCAGCCTGGTCCAAGGCCTGGAGGAAGGCCTCAGGGATGATGGTCCCCAGACAGGAAATTCTTGGCTGGGCAGGGAGGTAGGCTAGAAAAATTCCAGTCTTATGTTTTAGAAGGAAAAAAAAGGAGGACATGAGTTGAAAGGAGCCTAAGAAAACACAGGGTGAGGGGATATGAGAGTAGGAAGGCAGCTTTGGGGGTGCCATCCCCGAATTAACCTAGGCCGAAGGTTTCTTTACAGACATTTGCAGGTGGAAACAATGTCTCAGGCTGCGAAGGCCTTAACAACAGCTGCAGGGAACCCAGGGCCAGATAGCAAGGGGAAGGGGGCCCCAGGCCCTGCCCCAGGCCCCGGCTCTGCCCTGGCCCCAGCATCCATGCCCGTGCCCACTGCCAAAGTGGCCGACCTGCCTCCTGGGAGCTACCGGGTAAGGACGTGACGGGTGGGATGGCTAGGCTCCAACCAGCGCTTCCTCCTTCCTCGCCCCTCCCCCTGCCAGTCTCTGACCTGCACAAACACGCGCTCACAGTTTGTGAAGGCAAGAAACAGAAGGATAAAAAAAGTGAGCTGGCTTAGTAGCAGGAGCCACCTGTCCCAGAAGGTTCTATAGGGCAGCAGGATGGCCTCGGATCCCCCTGAAAATTGTGGGTCAGGCTGTAAGGGCTCCTGGAGAGCAAAGGCATGTGGTCCCCTGGGGTCGGGTGGGGTTTGGTTTCAACCTCAGGTGCACAGAACTGGGTCATCATTTCACCTCCCTCGGTTCTTGACACTCTCTCATGTGGTGCACGCATGGCCGGCTTTTATTATGTAGTCACTTACTGAATTGTTCATTTTTATTTAATTTTTCATACGCACCTACAAACCCATCAACCATATTAAAAGCCAGGACTTGGTAAAAATCCTCTTGTTTGAAAATGTTCCCCATAAGCCCACCAGCCTCCTCCCTTGCTCAAGGCAACTTCCATCCTCACCCCTGTCCATCAACTGCTTGCTTGTTTTTAATGTATTCCTTTCAGAGTATATACAGAGGGTGCCCCAAAAATGCATACGCAGTTTAAGAAAGGAAAAATCTGTATCAAATTATGCTGATGCTAACCCCTTTGAGCACCTCCTGTAATTGCAGAAGTCAAACATGACTTGTATTCATCTTTTGTTATCGGTATATATCGAGTACTATAATTTTAATAATTTTTTCCATTCTTAAAATGTGTATACATTTTTTTGGCACCCTCTGTATTTGTAGTTGATCTGGGTTTTTTGTTTGTTTTTACCTTTTTTTTCCTTAATTTTATTGGGGAACAGCCATGGTCATTGGTTACACATTGCTGTCATGCTACAATGGCATAGTTGACTCTTTTAAGGAGGGCGCAGCTCACAGTGGCCCATGCGGGGATTGAACTGGCAACCTTGGTGTTATCAGCACTGTGCTCTAAGCAATTGAGCTAACCTCACCCCCGATCTGTTTTTAACTTATTGAAATATGCTGTATGAAATGACTCTGCATTTTTCTCTTTTCTTTTCATTCACTCTGGGATCCCTGATGGTCATCCATATTGTGCGTTGCTGTGGGTCATTCCTTGTGGCCACTGTCTGATATTTCAGCGTGTGACCATCATTCCTGAACACCCATTGGTGGTCTCTAGCTTTGCTCTGGGGAACAGCAGGGCCAGGCTGTTCTGTCCACGTCTCCTGGGGGCACACGCGCGGGAGTTTCTCTTGGGTAGACAGGTGTAAGAGTAGAAGTGCTAAGTCAAGGTTATGTGCACCTTCTCTTACAGCTGGGGAAACGGACGCTCAGAGGGAAAAAAAAAGACACTTGCCTTGGTTCCAGTAAATGGCAATGTTTTCCCAACTTGGGACAAATGGATACTAAACAAAACTGGAGGCTTAGTGAGGGGAGGGAATTAGCTGACCTTCACACAGGGGCCCCTTTGTGTGGGCCCCACCACATCATGGTGGGTAGGCTGGCACGTGTTTCCCGAGCATCAGTTCTGTGGCAGGAGCTACAGAAATGGATCAACGCCTGTAGGAGCCCTTGGTCTTTGGAGGGGTTGTGTAAAGGGCGAGCGGGATGCATAGAGAGAGACCCAGAAGCAAAGCAATGTGACTGTGCAGTCTCTTCCTTGTACCGCTGATGGGATGAACACAGTGGTGAGCAGTCAACCAACCCCACCTGGAGAGGGGGCATCAGGGAAGGCTCCCTGGAGGAGGTGGCATTCTGAGCCTAGAAAAGGACAGAGAACATGAGCTCTCGGATGGGGATGTGTGTTGGAGAGGGCGTTCCAAGCAGAAGGAATAGCACAGATAAAGGCCTGGAAGGAAGATCCATCAGTGCCTAACAATGGTGCAGATATTAAGTTCAGAAAAGGAGGGAAAGGATGACAGCGTCGTCTCACAGACCTTGGCTCATGTCACACTCTCATGTGGTGTGTGCATGGCCCGTGTTTACTGATATAGGGACTTAATGACCTTTTTGACCTGGAGCCTCTCCAGTTTGGAGACACTCCTCCCCCTCACTCTGCCCCCGACCACTGGGCATGGGGGCCTCTCTCCTCCAGCTGGTGGTCTTCGAGCAGGAGAACTTCCAGGGCCGTCGGGTGGAATTCTCCGGGGAGTGCTTAAACCTGGGAGATCATGGCTTCCACCGAGTGCGCAGCCTCATTGTTACCTCTGGACCGTGAGTGTTGGGTAGGGGAGGAACACTCCTGCAGACAGAATAAAATACAGTAAAACCTTGAATTGCAAGTGACTTGGTTTGCGAGTGTTTCGCAAGACGAGCAAACATTTCTAATACATTTTAACTTGGTAAACGAGCGATGTCTTGCAATGTAAGTAGTTTGTTTCCGGAACGACTTATGCTCGAAAACCAAGGTATTACTGTCATAGCAAAACAGCAGCAGCTGCCATTTACTGGGCACCTGCTCTGCGCCTGCCCCCGTGCTAGCAAAGACACATGGTTTCTTTTCAGTCCTCATTTTAAACCTGAAAGGAGAAGGAGCTATTCTTCTTCTTTCCATTTTACAGATGAGAAAGCTGAAGCTCAGAGAGGTGATTTGATTAGCATAAGGTCACTCTGACGATAAGTCATGATTCTGGGCTCCCAGAAATGCTGTTTCTACTATAGACGGAGCCCTCCCATCACTGAGGGGCGGAGGAGAACAAAGAGCTAAGGATGCACTAGCTGCCCCCTCTCCCGGGCATCAAGCAGCCCCAAGGGTAATAATAAGCAGCTGCTGAGCACCCAGTAGGTGCCAGGCACCGACCGAGGGCTTTACCTGGGATTGTACAATACTCTATGAGGAAGAGGCCATTCTTTTGCCTACTTGACAGGTGGGGAAACTGAGGCTCAGAGGGGTTAAGTCCCTTGGCCAAAGTCTCCTAGTGGTAAGTAGCAGAGCCTGGTTCAACTCAGGTTGATGAATTTCACCCACGAGGCTTTTATGGCCTGCTCCATAGCCTGCCCCTGACTCTGGGTTTCTCTGGGTCTTAGTGACTGCTGGATACAGCAGGAATAATTGTCCTTCGGACATAGTGGCTGCTGCACCAGCTCCAGCCGCTGTGGCCTGAGGTCAGGGCACATGACAAGACTCATGTGGCCCTTTTGCTTCTTGCCTCCTCAACCCGAAAGCTTCCAAGGGGTATGGTCAGCCCATCTGCCCAGCATCTTGGGGCTCTCTGCAGCACAAAGAGCACAGATGGGCTTTGAGCTCAGACAGGCCTGGGTTCCAGTCCCAACTCCCCCAGACTTCGCTCAGTCTCCAAGCCTCAATTTTCTCATCGCTGAAATGGGAGAATAGCAGTCCCCACTACCTTCCACTGAATTATTCTGAGCCCTTAAGAAGATAATGCATCACGGGCCTGGCACTTTGTGGGTGCCCAAACATGACAGGTGACAGTGACGATTAATAGCCCTCCCCATTGCCCTGTGAGTTTAGCAGAGTCATCCTGGTGGAGTGTAGTTGGTGGGGAAGAGTGGGGGGAGTGGGGGAGAAAGGGCATGTCTATCTCCTGCACTCACCCCCACCCCCAGTGTGGTCAACACAGCCTCACCCCCACCCTCCACCCAGCCCCAAAGCCCAGCTAGGAACAGGAGCTGCCGGATGTGGCCAATTTGGGTTTTTAGGCTTTTTTCAGTGCTAGTGACTCAACCCCAAAGTATTTCTCCTCAAACAAAGATGCAGCTGGTCTTTGATGTGTGTCCTGGGGCTGCACCCAATGGGAAAGACAAGAGCCTATGGTTCAGGGCCCTTGGTCTGTATCAGGAACAGCAGGCATGGGGGTGGGGATGGTGATGGAAAAAAGGATGGAGAGGATGAGATGGGCAGGGGGAGGGGTACAGGCATGATCTCAGCACAGAGGCATGCCTCCCTGCAACTTAGGAGACTTCAGCCTGACACCATCGCATGACCTTAGACAGGTGACTTGACCTCTCTGAGCCTGTTTGCATATCTGTACATTAAGATTCCTGCCCTACCTCTTTCCTCGCTTGTAAGGCTCCCATGAGCCATAAGAGATGAGAAGAGGCACTGAAAAAAATTTTTTAAACTTCTCACTTGTGTAACAGGTCCTCACTGGGCATTACGAAGCAGACAGGGGAATTGGGAGGGGAAGTGGGCAGGCTGACAACATCGTATCAGTGTCTGTCTTTCCATGAACTCAGATCTCCAGCAGTTTCCCTCTCTCTTCAATTATAAAATACAGAGGGTGCCAAAAAAAAATGTATACACATTTTAAGAAAGGAAAACTGTATTAAAATTGGAATACTTAATATATACCGATAACAAAAGATGAATACGAGCACATTTGACTTCTGCAATTACAAGAGGTGCTCAAAGTGGTTACTGTCAGTGTCCAGACACTTCTGATGATGGCAAACTACTGCTTGAGCAACTTTGACCAAAGCGTCCACGTGGATGCATTTTTTTGCCACCCCCGGTATATTATTTATTGAGCTTTCTCTGTGATGGACTTGTTCCATGCATTCCTTTTTTAGACCCTCATAACATCCTGACAAGGTAGATACAGTCATTTCTTCTTTTACTGAGACTTAACAAGCCTCCGTGACTTGCCCAAAACCACACAGAAAATAAATGATGAGCTGGAATAAGAGTGTAGGTCTGTTTTCAGAATCAATTCTCTTAACTCCTACATGGCAGCATCTTCCAAGGATTCCTTTCCCATACACCCATCCATCCACCTATCTATCCATTTATTCATCCATCTGCTTACCCCTCCCTCCATCTGTCCATTCTCCATCATCCATCCATCCATCCATCCATCCATCCATCCATCCATCTATCCATCCATCCATCCATCCATCCATCCATCCATCCATCCATCCATCCATCCATCCATCTATCCATCCATCATTGCACTCATCCATAGATCTAGCCATCCAGCCATCTATCTACCCATCTTCCCACCTACCCATCCACCTATCCATCGTTCGTCTACCCATTCATTCAACCATCCATCCATCCATTTAACCATCCATCCACCCACCCATCCTTTTCTGATTTACTCCAGACCAGGCAGGGATGAAGGAGACTCAGCTCTGTTCTGGGAGGACAAGTCTGCATCTTCAGTTTTGTCATTTCAGTGTGGGCTGTCTCATCCCTCAGACAAGACCTGAGGCTTCTGGGACACATTGTGTTTCAGTCCATGGTGGTAGCTCCCCGCCCCATTTTCCCCAATCTCCTGGGAAGAGGAAGGTCCCAGCAGCCCCCAGGGAGATGATACTAATGTCACAGTCCTCTCTTGTTCCAGAGAACTCCTGAAAACATATAGCGCATAGGTCAAGGGGTCCCTTAGTCTCAGCCTTCTCATCTACGAAACGGAGATCATCCACAATCCCTGGTCCCCCTAACACAAGCTCACTTCCTGTCCTTAATCTGGCTGCAATAAGAAAGCCAGGCAAAGCCTCCATTTGACTTCAAGTTTGTAATAGGCCTTGAGAGGACTGAACACCTTCATATGCAGGATCACATTTAATTCTCTTAGGTATCTAAGAGGTAGGTATTATTATCATTTCCCCCCTGCTGCCAACATACCAGTTACTGCGTATCTTCTATATACAGGCCGGTCTTTACCAAATACTCATAGATGATTCAATAACCGGTGTTATTTTTTCCCTTAGCCCTGTACTTCCAGGGCTATTTTTATTTAATATATTTCATTTACAATGACCATTATTAACAGAAATAAACATATTTTAAAAGAACCTCTATATCACTTTTACAAAATGTATATCCATTTTGCAAATGGAAAGTTGGTGCCACTTTCTATAAGTAAAAGATACCATAAAAAATTGATATAATGAACACAGAGCAGGGCTACTGTACTGTTGCCTGCGCAGGACTCTGTGTTACAAAAAGAGAGATTAGTAAGTGTTAAAGACACATTAGCAACCAATAGAGACTTTCTCCTAGCTGTAGTCAAGTTTAACAGAAAATGTCTTCTCCTGTGTTATTTTACCCCAAATCCTCCTAGTACTTAAATCCTGTGGAATCTTACATCTGGGGGAAACTTTCTGTTCACATAATGCACACATTGCTTCATTTAATCCTTCACCAACTCCAAGAATACAGGCATATTAGATGAGGAAACCAAGGCTCAGAGAGGTGAAACCACTTGCCTATGGTCACACAGCCAGCCAGCGGCAGAGACTAGAATCAAACCCATTGGCCTTGGGGCTGCCTTCCAAGGGGAGGAGGTGGGCTTCTGCTAACAATTTCTCTCCGTTTTGCCTTTGTCCCTCCTAACCCTCCCCACCCATCCCCATCCCTCTCATGTCCAGCTGGGTCGCCTTTGAGCAGTCCAGCTTCCAGGGGGAGATGTTTGTCCTGGAGAAGGGCGAGTACCCACGCTGGGACACCTGGTCCAGCAGTTACCGCAGTGACCAGCTCATGTCCTTCCGGCCCGTCAGGATGGTGAGTGGCTCCTGGATGGGGTCTGGGGGGTGAGTGGGGTGGGCAGAGGCACATCTGAGGTCTGACAGCAAGCAAGGAAATGGGGGTGAGCAAGGGAGAGAAGGTGGGAGTGGTGGACAGGGAGGCACGGCAACCTCTGAGCTGTCCAGGGACAGTGGACTCTTGTGCTCGGTAATTCATAAGGTGTCTCTGACACACTCAGGAGGAGCCCTGGGCAGATGAGAAACATAAAACCCATTTCTTTCTTTCCTTGCTGCTATTAAGAATAGACTCGACCTCGCAATTTTTGGAGCTAGGAGCTTCAGCGTCTTCTATGATGCTCCTTGGGGAATGTTTCTAATTCCTGGCTGCACATCATAACCTCCCAGGGAACTTGGAAAATCCCAGTGCCCATCCAAAACATCCAACATGCAGGCTGAAACTTATGCGGTGACTGAGAAGAGGAGGGCTGTGGAAAGGCACCTTGAACTTCTCAGTGATAAGACAAGGTGCTGAATTAGCCCCTTGATCATATGTAACTAAGTTCAATAGTGTAACTTAAAGAAGACTCAAAGCCAAGAGAGGTGGAGTTGTCCCCAAGCGATTCACGGTTTCTCTAGCAGTGTGTTGATCATGATTCATCAACCAACCACATCTTCACTCACAAATGTCAGTTTCCCGTGGTAACCAACTTTTGCCTTCCTGGATGGGAATTTTCCTGAACAATTTTCACAGGCGTCCATTGGAGGCTATCAGGTACCAACAGCCAGCTGTGTGGGCACGCCCAGACTGATCTGAATGGATTAGCCAACCAGGTCATACCCAGGGTCTTCTCAGAACTGGAGGCTAGATTCTCAGCCTTCATAATGGCTTCTTTGTAAGAATACATAGATTTCTCGCAGTCATTGAATGATTCTTAAATGGCAATCTACGGTAAGGGAGTTTGTTTGGGAGAGCCATCAGCTAGGACATTTCCAGTAGCTTCTAGAACGTTGCTGTCCAATACAGTGGGCAGTCGCCATAGGGAATTTGGGCTAGTCTGATTGGACAGGTGCTATAAGTGTAACATACACACCAGGTTTTAAATGCATAGTAAAAAAGAGCAAAGTAAGAATGTAAACGATCATTACATTGTTATATTGGTTGCATATTGAAATTATAATATTAATATTTTGAATGTAGAAAAAAAAATCTAACGCCTGGGTCCCTCCCCAGACCAATGAAATTGGAATCTGTGGGGCTGGGGAGCAGGCGCTGATATCTTTTCCTTGCCCACCACAGGTAGATTCTGTGCAGCCAGGGCTGAGAGCCACCCGTCTGGTCTACTCTGTCCTTTATCCCTGCTACCATCCTGGGGTGGGCCACCTATATCTTGTGCCTGGACAGCTCCCACTCCCTCCATGCTTGGTTTCCTGACTCCTTTTCAGCCTTCTCCCCTGGGATGATAGAGGGCTCTCTAGCCTGCCCAATCTTCCATGTACAGCCATGTCTTCGACCACGGTCGGTTGATCCGTTTCTGCCAGGCTCTGTTGTAGGCTCTGGGTGTACAACTCTGCATGGGACAGGCAAGGAGTCCCTGACTCCGTGGGAGGCAGCTATTGAAACCTAATCACGGAAATCAATCTATTATGGCAAACCACTGTGGTACGTGCTGCACAGGGACCGTGCAGCTTGCTAGGAGAGCGGAAGGGAGGAACTAGAGTTCTATTGTTGTTGGGGGGAAGGGAGTGGTCAGGGGGCAGTCAGAGAAGGCAGCTCTCGAAGGATGAGAACTGAGTCAGCCACGTGAAGAGTGGTGGAGAAACCTTCCAGGGAGCAGTGAGTGCAAAGCTCGGGAAGTTAGGATGGACTAGGTGTGAGCAAGGAACTAAAAAATTGCCAGTGTGGCTGCAGCTGAGGGAGAGGAAGGGAGAGACGTACCACATGGGATGGGACGAATGAGATGCTTCTTTAAAAAGTTCTGTTACTTAGTGGCTGTGTGACATCGATCAAGAGCCTCTGAGCCTCTACATCCCTGACCATAATAACCAACATTTTTTTTCGGCCCCTGGTGTGTGCTAGGCACCGTGCTAAGCAGATTAACTCATGTAATCCTCATGACACCTCCATCAAGTAGCGGCTGGTAGCCTCTTTTTACAGATGACAAGGGCCCTTTCAGGCTGGACAGTGGCAATTCTGAGAGAGTCCCACGGTGGCCTGGGCACACTCAGCTCTCTCTCTTTACACCCACGAGGCCCTGCTAAGTAACTTTTCTTTGCCTCTATTCATATGTCCCATGCCTGAGCCAGCCTCTCCTTCCCCAGGACTCCCAGAAGCATAAAATCTGCCTGTTTGAAGGCACTACCTTCAAGGGCAGCACCATGGAGATCCAGGAAGATGACGTGCCCAGTCTCTGGGTCTACGGCTTCTGTGACCGCGTGGGCAGCATGAGGGTCGCCAGTGGAACGTAAGCATCCTCCAGCTCCCGCTTCAAGCCCAGGCAGACTCGGCGGACTCGGCGGCTGCCTTTACAGGATATAACATCAGACACATCGGAAAGGCCACGGCCCCTCCCAAATTCTCCCCGTGCTGGCAGCTCGGATTCCCCCAACGGTTACATTTTCACAAATTACACATCAGTGTCATCAAACCTGGCAACTGGTTCTAAAAACCTGAAAGATGGAGAGAATAGGGGTGATATTGAAATTGAAAGAATAATGAAGTAAAAGGGGGCAGAGTTGATGCTATAGGTGAGTCTAGATGTGTCTAAGGAGAGAGAATATTTAGGGAAATCCGTAGCCTCCAGGGAAATGAGTGGAATGACTTCTGAGATGAGACTGTGTAATGAAAAGGCCTTGACCCTGTCGCTGATGTGCTGTGGGACCGGGGCAGCCTCACGCCCCGCTCTGTATCTCAGTGTTGCCATCTATACAATGGGCACACCAGACTTTTTTTACCGAAAAGGGCCCTTTGTGCTCTGAACTCTCAGGATTTGAAACATTCAAAAAAGAGCCCCGTGACATCATATCTGTGAGACTACAGGGCAGGGCTGGATGCCCAAAGGAAGCCACTTTACCTATCCCCTGTCCCTCAACCACCATGCCAGACACCCCTGGCCTCCTCTAGGCAAATGTGAAACTCCTGCCTCTCCACTGCTGGTTCTTTCTCAGCTCCTGGAACACCATCAGGGCCCTGCCCTTTTTCTTGCTCCTTTCCTCTTCCCTGAAACCCGTATCCCTGCATTCAAACCATCAGAAATGTCCTACGTATTGTCTGGGAGGCAGGCACTGTGCCAGGCAAACCAAGGAGGCAGAGATGAATAAGATTCAGTTTCTGTCTGCAGGGGGCTTACTTAGCCTGGCAGGGAGACCCACGTATACCTGTGAGATGATGTCCAACCACAATACTAAGTAAGAGATGGTCCACACAGGAGGCCAGAGGAGGAAGAAAGTTTTCTGGGACTTCCTGGATATGTGTGCTAGAATGGAGGGCAGGCCAGAGGCTTACCTGAAGGGGCTGGAACTCAGACCAGACTTTGAAAGGTGACCATCCCCACTTTCTAGAGGAGATTGCAGGGAGAGATGGAGAGCTGGCTGGTCCAGGCGGGGGTCTGGATGCCAGGCAACGAGGCTGGCCATCTCCACACTGTCCTTCTTTCTTCCCTCCCAGCTGGGTTGGCTATCAGTATCCCGGCTACCGCGGGTACCAGTACCTCCTGGAACCTGGTGACTTCCAGCACTGGAACGAGTGGGGGGCCTTCCAGCCGCAGATGCAGGCTGTGCGACGTTTGCGTGACAGGCAGTGGCACCATGAGGGCTGCTTCCCAGTGCTGGCCGCTGAGCCCCCCAAATGAGTCCACACTCTCCTTTGCTCCCTCCTCCCATCCCTCCCTCAGACTCAGTTTCCCTGTTTTTCTCATGCAAATAAAAGTTCCTAAAGCCAGAATATCTCCTGGGTCTGTGAACAGATGTGTGCTGTCATGTGACTTCTTCAGTTTTAATGATAATAATAATAGCAGGGAACACTGCTAAGTTCTTTACAAACATTCTCTCAGTATATCTTTTGGACTACTCTCAGAGGCCAGTGTTATGATCGTTCTCATTCAACAAGTGAGGAAACTGAGGCTCAGAGAGGGAAAGTAACTTGCCTAAAGTCACACAGCTAGAGAGCCGAGAATTGAACCCAGACAGTCTGGCTCCAGGGCTGCACTCTTCAATGAATCTGTGTTTTTAAACTCTACTCCTCCATGCACCATTCTCCACGATTTTTCCCCCCCTCTGTGCTTGCCACCTGCTTTGTTATTTACTTAATATTTTTATTTAAATAGACTTACTAGTTTGTGCTTAAATGCACTGATTTGTAAATAAGACTTTATCATGCTACGAGAAGTGGAAAATCAGCATCCTATGCCACAGATAGGAAGCAATCTTATAAATAAATACAATTTACAGAAGGCCAAGTTTAGAATTCTCAGCAGACGCCCTGGCCTGCGGAAGGCTCTAAGCCTGTAAACTGCTGCTTTGATAAAATGGGTGATTAGCAAGTGTCAGAGGTAGGAAAGACATGCTTGCACCAAACCAAGATTTTTTTTTCCCTCCCTGATTTAATCAAAGAAGATTGAAAAGATCATTGTTTTCTTGTATCTGATTCAGTGTTATTGAATCCTGGGTCCAAGTTCCACCTAGAATCCTGTCTCCCACTACAAATGGTACATGCCCTGCTTTTGGGAAACCCGCACCAGGCAATATTGACTCCCCTATCACCAGTTAGCATTGATTGATGTTATTAACCTTTAATCCATGCAGGAAGCCTGGTGGAGGTGTTGCCATGGCAATCTTCTTGGAGGAGGAGATATTTCAAGGAGGCCTTGAAGGATGGAGCAGGAGCTGGCTTAGTTGTGGGGGGGAGGGGGGGCAGGGAGGACATTCCAGTCAGAGCAAACAGCAGGGCCCCTGCTAATCATAAAAGGATGCCTTTTCCTCAAGACATTGCACTGCTCTCTGCCAGAAGTTATTGGCATACGTCTGTAATGTCCACAATGTGAACGTGGCATCCTTGTACTATGCTCGACTTGCACAACTGTACTTGGCAGCCCTGCAGCCCCGCAGGCAAAGAAAGGCACAGAGGCTGAGAGCGCTTGTGGTGGGCCCCAGTAATGCTTACTGAGGTGGGAGCAGCAGCTTGGTGGTTGTGTGGGCAGAAGTCTGGGGGTGGGGGAGGGAGATGCTGAGTGCGGCAGGAGATGAAGTTGGAAAGAAAGATGGGGCCCCATGACACCAACTCTGTGGTTTACTGAGCTTCGAAGTGGAGCACCACCTGACATAAAAGGTCTTCCTGTCCGGAGCTCACTCTCTCCCGTTTCCTTCTGCCGGAGCTCTCCCAACCTCCACCCTCCAATTTGCCTACCATCTCGTGTTAGAAGAAAGGTTGTCCCTCCTGCCTTGGCCTAGGAGACGGAACTCCTGGGCAGAAATCCGGAGATACGGGTGTTAGCCCTGCTCCACTATTAGAAGCTGCAGGGTTGGGCACATCGCTTCTACTCCCTGGGATTCGTTCTTCCCATCTGTGAGATGACAGCTCGAAGGTCCATCCAGCCCCAAGATTCTAGGATTGTAGGGTTCCAAAATTCCATGATTCTCCAAGATTCTGTAATGTATTTCCAAGCTCCCATGATTCTCGGAATCCAAAGTCAAGCTACATAGATCCCCATGCTCGGTTCCTAAGGCCTTTGAGGGCAGCTCTCCAATTCTATTGTAGTGGAGTCAAGCCTGACAATCATATGAGCTGCACAAACCTAACTTTCATATTTCCTCAATGCTAAGATCTCACCGAGGGCAAGATGCACCATGATTTTCCGATCCAAGAAAATCCTATCAAAGGAAAACATCGGTAAAGTTAGTCCTAAAACTTATTTTCATAGTCTAGGTCTTCTGGATAGCTTTCCCCTTAAAGTGGTCAATCTCCTTATTTTCTCAGGTGTTTCATGAAAAAAATGCGCATGTTAGCATGGCGGAAACATGATATATACACTTGGCAACACAAAAACCGGAAGAAAATAATAAAGTCATTACTTTATATGTAATACATTGTTTTATCAATATGTTTAACTTCTGCTAACGAATTTATGAATAAACAAAACCTGTAATAAAAACACAGAGAACAGATGAAAATTACAAGCAAAAATAAGTTACAGAGATAAAAAGAAACAAGTAAAAGAAAATACACATGAAAAGGTCAGGAGTGAGTGTGACATAAGTGTTATAAACCTGTTGTTCCTTTTGTGGGTCCTAGTTTCAACATGCCTCTTGAAATGTGAAACTTACCACCTGGGACGGGATTTCACAGCTTAAAGATAGGTCACATTTTTGCCTTAAAACCAAAACTTCAAATTTCGACTTCATTAGGTGCTCAGTGGAAGAGAGCATAATGGGTACGACGCTGGAGGTGACCAGTGGATCGGGACTTGACCGAGCGGCCATGCTGCTCACAGCCTCCTTGGGGGCTCCTCCACGCTGGTTTTGACTCTGCAAGAGTTTTGTCCTAAACGCAGGCTTCAGAACACAATGCCTAGGCAAGCTGAGTTGTCACTGTGTTTCATCGCCAGGTCCCACCCAGCTCATGAGTCTTCGAGTCATAGGCCTTTGAAAAGACAAAGCACCTTGGCTGTGGAACATCATCTCTCATCGACGGCGACCGGAAGCAACTCACCATCTTTTGGACACTGAGACACGGACACAAAATGAGCGGTGTGTGTGCGAGAGGCGGGGTGGGTATGTATGGGAGGACTGACCAGAAGTGTGATTCCTGCTATGCCAGGACCAGACGCTGATGGACACACAGCCACTGAACTCTGGATAAAGGGCGTGGTGCCCTGAGGAAGGTCTAGCGAGGTGAGCATCTCTTTAGAGCCATGTTGCTATGACAGCCAGTCACCTGGATCAGATACCCAAGATCAGAGTGCTTTGTGAAGCCAGGGTACCCAGCTAGGCATGATAACCACACACCCTTCCAGCAGATGGCTTCCTGCCCACGGCTGGGCCACCTGCTTCCACCACTGCACTGAATTTGCATCACTAGCTGTTGCTCTAGGTCAAGGCAAATGACCTGAGGGAGCCTCTGTCTCCTCATATGTAAAACGAAAGTAATGATAAGAAACCCTCAGCAGGTTGTAGGGAGTTCAATGATCAGCTGGAATATAATGCTTAGAAAGTGCTCAGAACACAGCAAGCACCTGAATCATCATCAGCAGCAGCCTCTTCTCAAATGTCAGAGAGGAAAAGAGTTTTAGAATCAACATGCTTTATGCCACATTTAGTCTTCCTGCTTTGGGCAAATACTGACTAAGGGCCTCTCGAGGGCCAGGTTTTTCTAGATGCGAGGGATACAGGCTGGGGGAGAAGACAGAGGAGGCCCTGCCTGGCCATTCACAGCCTGGAGGAACCAAACGGGAATGTGCTCTTTCATCTGCCTTCAAAGTCACATCAAATTCCCAGGATGCATGGTCCCGTGTCCATCTCATCAGGATGCCCTAGGGGACATTGAGGCTTCCTCAAGGAGGTGACAGCCAGCTTAAGGCCTGAAGGGGTTTGCTGAGTTGGGAAACTGAGAAAAGGCCCAACTTAGACACCCGAAGTTCATTCTGATCCTCTTCTTTAACCCCACAAAAGATCTAATTCTTTCTTCCAAACATCTCTGGAACTCGGCACTCCCTCCATGCCCCCAACCCCTCCCTGGGTTAGCCAACTTCCCCCTGGAGTTATTTAAACAGCCTCAAAGCCAGTCTCCCTTCCTGTCCTCCTCCAGGCAGCAGCCATGAGGATCTTTGCAGGAAGCAAAGCTAACCAGGTCCTTCCCCAGCTGAGCACCTTCCATGTCTGTCCATCACTGCAAGAGGAAGTCCTGGCACCTTCTCACAGCCCCAGAAGCCCTGCAGCCTCCAGCCCTGCAGACCCCTCTGACCTCCCCTCACCCCTTCTCCCCACATCCCATCTACTCTGCACTTCAGGCAAGGCCCTACCACAAAGGAGCTTCCTGTTGGACATTAGCACCTGTGGGTCCCTGTGACTGGCATATTCTTTCTTCTACGAACCCTCAGCCATGCTTCAGGTCTCAGTGTAAACGCCCCTGGCCCTCTCTCCCTGGACCATGTCAATTCCCTGTCACCAACTCCCCTATGCTTGTTGCACACAAGGCTCTAGTCCTCCTGTTCCCTTGACTCCCAGCACCCAGCACAGGGTGCTCAGAAAATACTATACCTAGAATGTTATTAAACACATGCCTTATTCAGACCTCTTTCCTTGATCTCCAATTCTCTACCCACAAAGGGACATGATCAAACACCCAGCAGGGTTACTATGCAGTTAGTCACACAAAGCCTCCAATTGGTGCCCAATAAGCACTCTATAATATTGTTCTACTGATTTCAGACCGGTAGCAGCCAGCTCCATGGAGGCACAGGATTTCGTTTTGTCAGTTCCAGCACGTTCTACATGGCAGGCACTATTTATTGGATATATGAATGACGTAATGGATGAGCTATGAAGGAACACATGGCAGGCTATGGACAAATCACTTAATATCTGTGTTCCTTGGTTTTCTTATCTGTAAGATGGGATGATAACAGACTTATCACAAAGCTATTAAGGGTTTAAATGTGTAAATATAAAGTGTGTAGAGCAATGTCTGACACTTGGCAGATAATTTTACATATACAAACACACACATATATGTATATATGTATCTATCTATCTATATCTCCGGCATGCCAAAAAAAATGTATACAAGTGGACGCTTTGGTCAATGTTGCTCAAATAGTAGTTTGCTGTAATCGGAAGTGTCTGGACACTGACAGTAAA